TTTGTGGTTTCTACCATTAGATATAATGTGTGATATAGCTGTTATTTTTTTTCTTTAATCATGTTAAGGAAGTTTCTTTCCATTCCTAATTTGCTAAGTGTGTTCCTCATGCATAGAAATTAAATTTTGTAAAATGCTTTTATCTTCCTCTATTGAGGTAATCAGTGTAATATTTTTCTCCTTTATTCTGTTAACTTGGCAAATTTTATTGATTTGGTAATGTTATTAAGTACTTACAAGTTTATAACTTTTTCATTTTTCCAGTGAATTAAACCTTTCAGCATTAGGAAATGACCCCTTTGTGTCTAGTCATGTTTTGTTTTATTTTTCTTAAAGACTATTTTATCTGCTATTCATGTAGCAAAAAGTGACCCTGTGTTTGCTAGGTGCTGGCTATTCATTTATTCATTCATTCACGCATTCATTCTTTAAAAAATATTTACCTGAGTAGCATCAAGGTCATGGGCACTGGACCCCAACTGTCAGAGCTGTGTGTAAATTTGTGCAACTTATTTAACTTCTCTTTTACATGTAAAGAGGAAGCCTTGGTTTCCTTGTCTGTAAATTTCTTCCATCAGTTTGGGAAATTTTGTTATCTCTTCAAATACTGCTTCTACCCAGACTTTCCCTCTAACCCTTCAGAGACTCCAATTTAACATGTTGGACCTTCCCATTGTATCTTCTATGTTGTTATCTTTTCCTCCATATTTTTCATCCTTTAGTTTCCCCTTGCTTTGTTCTGCTAGTTTCTTCTGATCTATTTTCCATGGTGCTAATTCTCTCTTCAGCTGCGCCTAAATTGCTATTAAACCTGTACATTGAGTTCTTAATATTGGACAATATTTTTCAGTTCTAGAACTGCTAGTTGGCTCTTTTTAAACTAAGTAGTGTCACTTTTTATAATTTCCAGCTCCTTGCTTAAATGTTTAAGAGTGACTTTTAACTTCATGAGCATAACAACCGTTGATACTTTAAAGACCATGTCTTGTAATTACATGTTGACTTGTAATTACTCTCTGAAATACCTGTGGGTTTGTTTCTGATGCCTATTGTTTGTGTAGGTCTTTGATTATGTTATCTTATATCCTCATGTGTCTGTTTATATTTTGTATACTATGTTTAAAATTTGCACATTTATTTGTAGAAATAATTTCAGGTATACAATGATACTGTCAGATATCAGCACCTCTAGTGGTCCAGGGTCACCTTAATTCGAAGTCAGGGCTTAAAATATCCTGGGCAATCTAAATAACTTGACTCCAGGTTACAGTCTGTATACCCAGTCTGGGCTGGTTCTCTTCCATTTTGCTAATATTTCTCCAGTGTGCCTTTTTGGGTCCCAACCCTAAGTGTGGAATGGTTTACCAGGCCCCTACCCATAATGAACGATGAACTCAAACTTCTGTCTCCTGACAGCTTCAGGCTGTCAAAAGACCTGCTCAGCTGTTCATTCATCTCCTCTGAATCATCCAACACTCCCCAGGTAAAAGCAGCCCAAAGGCTGAGTATTACCCTCCAGATGTGTCTTCTCAGTCCTTGGCCTATGTACTCATCACAATCTTGTTAGCTCTTTGCAACTTTTATGAAGATTTAATAATTATTTTGTTCACCTATCTTTTTCATTCACCCCCAGTGAAAGAATTGATCCAAGTTATCTGGTTAGCCATATCAGAAATCTAATCTCTAAATCTTTTAAAAGAATGTGGGTTCCATATGCCCTTGTCATGATCACTTTATTCTGACCGAAGTCAGGGTTGGCCATGAGCTTAAGAGTATGGCATTCATTAGGTTGATTTCACATTGATTTGAACGAAATTTAACTTATATTCATTGAGCACAGCAAGTATGACCTAGGGACATACACAATACTAGGTGTATGTGTGAGAATATGTTTTTTTCCTTTCAAAAAACCAATTATCCGTGTAGCACACTGGCTAAGGGTTTGAGTCCGAGAGTCCAATGGCCAGGACCTACCATCTATAAACTGTGTTCCAGTTACTCATCTTCTCTGTGCCTCAGTTTCCTCATTTATAAAATGATGATAATTATAATAGAATGCCTTGATTGAACTGTTGTATGGATTGAGTGATATGATGCAAAAACAGTGTTCTTGACTCAAATTAGTAATTCTTAACAGTTATATTTATTATCACCTGTCATTTCCTGGGGACTCTGCTAGGCCCTGCGAATGAAAAGGTGGTAAGAAGAAACTCTGTGGTCTTGTCCATGAGAAGGACAGTCACACAGCCAGTGCCTGCAAAGGGTGGTGAGTGCTGGAGGGGCAGCAGCAAAGGAGGGGCACCTCCTCTGGGGTCCGTAAGACCACCAGGTTCAGTGGTTCACTAGGACAGCTCACAGGCTCAGCCTATAGTTGTACCTATGGCTAGGACTTATTGCAGTGAAAGGATTCCAAGCAAAATCAGCAAAGGGAAAAGCTACAAGGGGTAAAATCCAGAGGAAGCCAGGCACAAGTTTCCAGAATCCTCTCCCCATGGAGTCACACGGGATGCACTTAATTCACATGCGTTGCGGTAGCATGTGTGAAATGTTGTCTTCCAGGGAAGACATCCTGAGCTTAGAGTCCAGGGGTTCTGTTGGAATCAGTCATACGGGCACACCTCTTTCCTGTCATGTATCAAGATTCCAGACTCTAGGAAGGAAAGCAGATGTTCAGCTAAGCCACGTTGCACCTAATGAGACCCTGTGGTCAGGGGGCCTTGCCAGAAAAGGAGACCTTGAATTGATTTTTGGAACATGCCAGGAGAGTTCCTGGGTAGAGGGGGACGTGGGTGCTCTAGTTGCGTTGGGGCATGGCGTATTCAGGGACTGCCGGCACGTGCTTGGTTGGGGAGGATATGATATGTGGGTGCAGACCCTAGTGTGACAAAACCGCTATATCGGGGAGCCGTGGTCTTGGGGGATGACAGATAAACTGTGGCTTAGATACCCTGGTGGGCTAACCAAACGGCTGGTGGAACTGTGGCTTAGATACCCTGGTGGGCTAACCAAACGGCTGGTGGGAGCTCAGGGTCAGAAATGCCCATGGTAGTGGCCCAGGGAAGGTTCCAGAGAAGGGATTATTTTGGAGGAATTTTTCAGGGTGAGGTGTGAAAGTAATTGGAGATGGGGCAAAAGGAGTGGCTTTAAAAAGCTTCTGGGCCAGGCGCGGTGGCCCACACCTGTAATCCCAGCACTTTGGGAGGTCAAGGCAGGCAGACCACTTGAGCTCAGGAGTTCGAGAGTAGCCTGAGCAACATGGCAAAACCTCGTCTCCACAAAAAATTATAAAAAAATTAGCCAGGCATAGTGGCATATACTCCTATAGTCCCAGCCATTTGGGAGGCTGAGGTGAGAGGATCACCTGAGCCCAGGAAGTCGAGAGCGTGATCACACCCCTGAACTCCAGCCTGGGCGACAGAGGAAGATCCTGTCTCAAAACAAAACAAAACAAAAAGCATCTGCATAATGAAACATGCAATGAGATGCCATTTATGGGGTGAATGAACACACACACCAAAAGCCACCTTTATGAACATGATATGCAGGGAAAGTGTAGACGTGTAAACTGGAGAGAGGGTCACTGCGTTCATGGGGATGGCTGTCTGAGGCTGAGAGGGTGGGGAAAAGAATTGCAGGGAGCCATAAAGAATTCCAACTTAACCTGTAAGGTTCCATGTTTTTTGTTTGTTTGTTTGTTTTTGTTTTTTTTGAGATGGAGTCTCCCTCTGTCACCCAAATTGGAGCGCGGTGACACAATCTCAGCTCACTGCAACTTCCGCCTCCCAGGTTCAAGTGATTCTCCTGCCTCAGCCTGCCACGTAGCTGGGATTACAGACCTGCACCACCATGCCCGGCTAATTTTTGTATTTTTTAGTAGAGACAGGATTTCACTGTGTTGGCCAGGCTGGTCTTCAACTCCCAACCTCAGATGATCTACCCGCCTCAGCCTCCCAAAGTGTTGGGATTACAGGCATGAGCCACCATGCCCGGCTACCTGTAAGGTTCCATGTTTTAAATGAAAAAAAAAGAAAAAGAAAAAGATGTGAGTGGTGGATTCACAGGTGTTTAATATTATTATTATGGTGTGGGTTTGTTTTTCATAGTTTTTAGAAAGATATCGGGGTGGGGGAGGTGGGATGAAGGCAACAGAATGATGAGACAAGAAGCAGGACAGCTGGGGCCATCTCTGAGCTGCCCGGAAGCCCTGCTGGGTGATCCTGAGTGTGAAGGGAACAGAGATCTTCCACGTTATTTGAGCCAGGAGGACTCATGATAAGATGTGAAGTTTACGAAAATAACTCACTTAAGCATGGAGGATGGAGGGGGAGACAGACTAGTGGGGATTGTGAAAATAATCTAGACAGTGACCCAGGGGAGGCCCAAATGATGGTTTTGAGGAGATGCCAGAGATGAAGAGCTCACTGGGGGAGGAGAGCAGGCCTGAAGCTTGGCAAGGAGAGCAGGTGTGAAGCTTGGCAAGGAGAGCAGGTGTGAAGCTTGGCGAGGAGAGCAGGTGTGAAGCTTGGCGAGGATAACAGGTGTGAAGCTTGGCTGAGTAGAGCTTGAGAGTGGGTGCATCTCAAGGCTATGCATGTGTGTGTGTAAGAGTGTGTCACTGTGCAAGTATATATGAGTGTATGTGTGTATGTGTGCACTTGTCTATGCATGGATGTATGTAGGAGTGTGTGCAGGGCTCAAATGTGTATGAAAGCATGCATGTGTTCGTGTGTGTATGTGCATGTGTGTATATGTGCCTGTGTCTGCATGCATATGTGTATGAGTACATGTGCATGTGTCTGTGTGTACAAGTGTGTGTGCCTGTGGGGGAGTGTACTTGTGTATGTGTCTATGCATGCTTGCATATGTGTGACTTGAGAGTTCCTGTCTGTGGGTCTCCTTGTGTCTTGTGGGAGGCTTGTGGAGGAGAGGCAGAGAGCAGCTGAGACCCCACACAGGGTCCTGCCATGACCTGTAACCCCATCTGTGGTTCTTGGCTTCAGGAGCTGTACTGCAGCACCATGGACACTTTCCAGAAGTTCGTGGACGCCCTGTTCCTTCAGACGCTCCCTGGCATGACTGGCCTCCCCCCAGAAGAATGTGACTGCTTGAGGCAGGAAGTCCAGGAGAACGCTGCCTGGCAGCTGGGGAAGTCAGATCGCTTCCGGAGGCAGCAGTGGGAACTCTTCCAGGAGCTCCAAGAGCAAGACCAGCAGGTGCGGGCATTTGGGAACCCAGGGGCTGGGGTCTGCATTGTAGAAACACATGAACAAGCGTGAGAGACCTCACATCCTGAACACCCACTGCTGCCTATTGTAGGTGCTCCACGGAGATGACTCTTGCCTCCCTTTCACAATGGCCCACCACGGGGGCGGGATGAGAGAGCAGAGCCATCATCTCCCTCAGCAGGAAGTCGGAGATCATACCTTAAGTTAATCGATCAAGAAGAGCAGCAAAGCTTGTTCTTTAGAATGAGAGAAATAAGTAACCAAATGGCAGGAAGGAAAGCGGTTCACAGGGAGTGGACTCGGTGGGGGTGGGGCAGTGGCACACACAGGATCCTGTTTTTCAGTGACAGTCTGATTATGAAGATCATGGATTTATGCTGAGACAGAATCGTTACCCCCAAAGATATCTACGCTGTGTTCCCTTACATGGCAAAAAGCAGATGCTGTTGAGTGAAGGATTTTGAGGTAGGGATGCTGGTAAGCCCAGCATAATTGCAAGGGTTCTTACAGGAGACAGGCAGAAGGGTGGGAGTCAGAGAAGGAGGGTTGATGTTCTAAGCAGAGGTCAAAATGTTGTGACTGTGAGCCTAGGAACTCTGGCTGTTTCTAGAAGCTGGAAAGGTCAAGGAGCACATTCTCCCCTATAGCCTCCAAAAAAGAGCGCGGCCCTGCTGACACCTTGATTTTAACCCATTAAGACCCATTTCAGCCTCCTAGGCTCAAAACTGTAAGGTAATAGATTTGTGTTGTTTTCAGCCACAGCTTGTAGCAATGTGGGACAGCAGCAATGGGAAACTAATAATACAGATTGATTTTTTTTTTTTTTTTTTGGAGATGGAATCTTGCTCCGTCACCTAGACTGGAGTGCCATGGTGCGATCTCAGCTCACTGCAACCTCCGCCTCCCAGGTTCAAGAGATTCTCCTGCCTCAGCCTCCCGAGTAGCTGGGATAACAGGCACGTGCCACCACACCTGGCTAATTTTTGTATTTTCAGTAAGATAGGGTTTCACCATGGTGGCCAGGGTGGTCCCAAACTCCTGAACTCAAGTGATCTGCCTGCTTCAGTCTCCAAAAGTGCTGGGATTACAGGCGTGAGCCACTGCGCCCAGCCCGCGTTGATTTTATCTTTAAAAAATTAAAAACTGTTAAATGAAAGAAGGCATTTCCAAATTCAGCATCCACCAAGACCACCTGCAAGTCCTTTCTCCCTTGCCTTCAGCCCTCTAGAGACTGTGAAACTAACATCCTCAATATCCATATCCCTTGCAACTAGCCATGGCTGAGTGACACTGCTCTGGCCTTTGAAACAAGGCAAAGGGCTTCTGTTTCCTGATACCAAAGCTGGTTTTGCTTGGAGCAGCCCCCTTCTTCAGTGTCCCATTCTTCCTTCCTAGAACGCACGGGAGGCCTGGAGGTGTATCAGCCTTTCTCTGCCCTAGAGGCAGCCTATGTGAGCCTGGTGGGCTCCAGTGGTTGGAACAGTCTCAGACAGCCCCGAGCCCCTGGCGGTGCTGTTAAGCCACAGCTGTGGACCTGAACCGCCAGCCCCTACATGCTTATTGTCAGAAACAAGCCCTGTTTCTTTAAGTTGGGTTTGCAATTAGTTACAAAAGATCAGTCTGACTGATGCATCCATCTAAAAGAGGTTTCCTAAAACAATTCCTTGGGGCAATAGAAAGTACAAAGTAGATACAGGAAAGCATTGTGCAAACGCATGACCAGTCACAGCTGTGGGGACAGGCACAGGGCCTAGTTGCCTGCCCGAATGAATTCTTAGACCTCCTTCTAGTTCATTCAGTCCTCTGTCAGTAGCATCTGGTTGCCCTGTCATAGGTGACTTGTCTGTCTCCTGCATTTGGCTATGAGTTCCTTGAGGACGGCAACCCTGATTTTCATCTTTACACTGCCTATTCAAAGCCCAGTGGCTGCAATACGGCAAATGTTCAGGAAAACTTGTTGCATTTCCAGCAACAATAATGCAGCTTTGGAAATGATGACAGTGTCGCCTTTGCCCTGTATTCTTCTAAGGGATCTAAATGAAGCTGCATTCATCCAATTCATTCCAAATCCTGGGCTGCAGACCAATTCATTTACAGTCTCTGGGGAGGGAGCAGGACCTGAGCCTCAGTGTCTTAGAAACCAAGTGAGCCTAATGGGCACTGAAGTGGACCCACTAAATGAGTGTAGGGGCCTTTTAGAGACCATTGTGGTTTTGCAGCCAGGCCCATAACCTCAGAAGCCTAAGACATGGGTTTGAGCCAGAGCAGGCACGTTAACGGGCTGTGTGACTTTAGCCAGTGAGCTGACCTCTTGCAACTCTGTGATTTTACACAGCTTGCTAAAAATACCTCAGAACTCCAGCTTCTGTGTGAAAACTAAGGGTCACAATATCCAAATGACTGCATGGAGATAATGCACGTTAAGACCTTTTGCACAGTATCTATTGACTCATTTAAAAGACTTTTTGCACAGTATCTATTGACTCATTTAATGGCATTGACAGTGAAGGAATCCAGAATTTCACTTCTGACAAAACACCTATGATTCATCTAAAACTCTCTGGTTAGGAGTCTTAAGTTATTTTAGGCAAATAGTAGACTATGCACAACTCTGTTTGTAATGTTTTACTTGTTTACTTTGTGAGCATATGATTGTGAATTTTTCTTGGCATGTGGGGAAGGTTTCCGGCTGAGTTTTGCATGCAGGAAGCAAGCAGGAGAGTTAATTACCTCATCAACTGATTACATAAGTATGACCCAAGACTGTTTTCTCAAGGTGTCTGTGTCATAGTTAACTTACTGGTTACTTAATTGCCTTAAATTAACACATGATAGCTGGGCATGGTGGCTCACACCTGTAATCCCAGCACTTTGGGAGGCCGAGGCAGGCGGATCATGAGGTCAGGAGATCGAGACCATCCTGGCTAACACAGTGAAACCCTGTCTCTATTAAAAATACAAAAATTAACCAGGCGTGGTGGCGGGTGCCTGTAGTCCCAGCTACTTGAGAGGCTGAGGCAGGAGAATGGCATGAAGCCAGGAGGCAGAGCTTGCAGTGAGCCGAGATGGCGCCACCACACTCCAGCCTGGGCGACAGAGTGGGACTCCGTCTCAAAATACATAAAATAAAATAAAATAAATAAATTAATTAATTAACACACGATAGTTAGAGATCTACCTGCCATATTTCCTCATTGATGAAAAAGAAGAGAAATGAGCTCTCTGTGGTTCAGATGAATATTAGTCATGAGAAGAAAAGCACCAATGAAGCTATTCATGGAAAATCAAAAATATCAACTGCAAATTGCCTTTCCCACATTGTTTTCTATCCAAAAAGACAGTTGATTATTTCATATCCCATTGCTCAGGGAAGTTGTTAAAAATTATGGAATTTGTGAATTACACTGTTGGAACAGGTTGTAGAATGGTATTTCTCAAAATTTAATCTGCTCTAATGCAGATGTCTGGGCTTCTCCCAGTCCCCTTGCGGTAGGCGGCTATAATGGCCCCCCAAGGAGACCCACATCCTAATCCCTAAAACTCGTGAATATGTCTGGTTGTAAGGCAAAAAGTACTTTGCAAATGTGATTAAGCAAAGGATCATGAGATGGGGATATTCTCCCTATGATCTGGCTGGGCCCCATGTCATCACAAGGGTCCTTATAAGTGAAAAAGGAGCATCAGTGCCAGAGTGAGGCAGTGAGGAAGATTCTGCAGCCATTGCTGGACTTAAAGACGGAGGAAGGGGCTGTGAGCCTGGGAATGCAGGTGCCCTCTGGGAACTGGAAAAGGCAAGAAAATGGATTCTGCCCCAGACCCTTGGGGAGGAGTGCAGACCTGCCAACTCTCATTTCAGGCTTCCGATCTCCAGAAATGTAAGGTAATAAGTGTTGTTTTAAGCCACCAAATTTGTAATAATTTGTTATAGCAGCCACAGGAAACTAACACACCAGTGGGTAGGAGTGGGGCAGGGAATGTGGCAGTTGGTGCACTCCTTAGCATAAACAGTAAAGAACACCAGTGCTAGAGGCAGTCTGTCTGAGTTTGAATCCTGGGTCCCCACCTTACTCTCCTCTCCCTCTCGCTCTGCACCCCACTCCAGGTGTTTTTCATCATTTCATCACCAAGTCTGCTCTCCTCTGTGCGGAGCTTTCAGGCCTCCTCTTACTGGACTCAGTGGTGGTGGTTGGCCAAGTTGGTCTCTTCCCTCCTCCTTGTAACACCCACTAGACTCTCTTGCTTCTCCTCCCAGCTCACTTCTTTCTCCTTCTTAGTCTCCTTTGCTGGCCCCTTCCCAGCTCCTTAATTTCTGAACACTGGAGAGCCCTGGGGTGCAGTATCCAATCCTCCTCTTTATCTACATGCACTGTCTCAGTGATCCCATCCAGTCACACACCATCTGTATTAGTTTTCTAATGCTGTGTAACAAGTAACCCCCAAACTAGAAGCTTAAAACAACTTGCACTTACTGTCTCACAGTTTCTGTGGGTCAGGGGTCCAGGCACAATTTAACTGGGTCCTTTGTTGAGGGCCTCTCACAAGGCAACATCCAATCCCTGGGCTGGGGCTGGAGTCTCATCTGAAGGCTTGACTGGAGAAGAGTCACTTCCGGGCTCACTCACATGGCTCTTGTCAGGTTTGTTCCTCAAGAGTCATTGGACTGAGAGCCAACAGCTTCCAAATTTATAGCCTCAGCTCAGGATCGTTCCTGAACTCAGATCTACATGAAGTCTCCATTTAGATGATTGATAGATGTGAGAAGTTCGTGTGTCAAAAAGAACTGTTGCTCTTCCTGCCAACCTGCCTTACCCACAGCCCTCCTCCGTTTTTGTACTAAATTGGGGCAGAAACCTTGGGGTCATCCTTGACTCCTCTTTCTTTCACACCCTACATTGGTTGACACGAAATCCCATTGGTTTTGCCTGCAGTCTAATCCTGAATGTGACCACTATTCAGCACCTCCCCTCTTAGCACCCTAGTCAAAACCA